TCTGGAGAATGGATGGAAGGAGTAAGGCTGGAAGCAAGGAGACCAGGGAGACCTGACTGTTGGAGTGTTTTCAGGCCAGAGATGATGGTGGCTCAGAAATACAGTTGCCAGATTTAGCAAATAAAAATACAGGAGACCTAGTTAAATTTGATATTTAGATATAGAGCAAGTAAAAACATTTTTTTTGGTAAAATATATCCCAACTATTGCATGGGACATACTGATACTAAATGATTCATTGTTTATCTGGAAATCAATTTTAACTGGGTGTCCTGTATTTTATCTGGCAAGAGTACTTGAGGGTCTCAGGGAACCCTGGGGATGGGGAAACGATAATATAACAACGATGGAGCGAATGCACTTTGAAGTGTGTACTACTATCATCCCCATTCTGCAGATAAGTAAACTGAGGCCAGAGAGTTTTTTTGTGTGTGTGTGTGTGTGTAACATGTCTCTACAGTTAGTAAGTAGGTGACCCCCGATTGGAACCTAGGCATGTTGATTACAGTTCACCAGCCGATTAGAGCTGGCATCCCCCCTCCTCCCCGGGAGTGGGGTGGGGAATGGAACTTAGGCGCCAGGGTTTCCTCGGTTTCTGGTGACCCAGGTAAGGGCCTTCTTAATGCAATAGACTCCTCAGCCCCCTCTTGCAGTCTGGGATCTGTGCCACCTCCTTTGCGCCTCAGGATACTGAGGCAGTGGGAGGGACGGGAGTCGGCCTCAGGGGGGCTCCTCTCCCCGGCTGAGGCTCGGCCTCGGCCTCCTCCAAGCCGGGAGGATCCGCCGTCTGCGCCCGCCGGCAGGGGGAGGGGGAGGGTTATTTTTACCTCCCTCCAGGCAGGCGGGGCGACAGGAAGCGAGTGCGCAGCCCGCCAGATGTGGGGAGCCAGACAGCTGGGAGCAGCCACAGCTGGACTGGCGGCCGGCTGGGGGCGGGGGGAGGCAGGGTGTGCAGAGGGCGGATCCCAGGCTCAGGTCCCCCCTTTGTTCCCGGCCGCCCCAGCCTCCCCTCTGAGGTCCCCCCTCACTCCCATCCCCGCTTGCTCATCTCAGGGGTGACCTCGCTGTCCCCCATCTTTGCGCTAGTGTCCCCGGTGCTCATGGGCTCTTGGGAATCGGGCGGAGAGGGGACCCTGCTTCTAGCCCCGGGGACCCCCTGGTCCCAGCAGAGTGAGGAGTGGAAGCGGGAGACAGCCAGCCCCTCGCCGGCCCTGCCTGCCACCGCCATTGTTTACCCGTCGGCTGCCTCCTAGGAAACTTAACCCGCCCGCGGTAATTTTATTTGGGAACTTCGGCCAGTTGCCATAGCAACCCCCAGTGACGTCAGAGGGGCTGGGGCCCGAAATCCCCGGGAAAGGGGGGATGGGTTTAGGGGGGGAGACCCCCCAGGAGGGACCCTCCTTAACCCTGCGGCTGCCGGGCCCCAGTCAGAGGGGAGATGGCAGCCAGATGCGACACCTCTTGGGCGCCCCCATTCTGGCCCGGTGCCAAGTTAGGGTGGCCGGCCAGGCCCTGATGTCATCCAGTGCTGGGTGGGTGGTGAGTCAGTCCTCGGGTGGGGGCTGGGACAGGCCTGGGGGGCTCTTCCTATCTGACTCACCCCTCCCCCAGCACCCTGATGGACCTTGCCCTGGGGATTTCAGGCACCTGGCTGGGGGTCCCCATAGATCCCTGGGGTCTCTCTGCCGCTCTGAACTGTAGGTGGGTAGGCAAGGGCTTTTCTGGTTCTCTCAACACCAGTTTGGTGGGGTTGAATGAAAGGGTTAGTGTCAGTGAACTGGGGCCACCACACAATGTCCTTCCCCGGATGTGGGGAGTGGCTGGTGTCCTAGTGAGGGGGCAGGTGGTGGGATCCCAGCTCAGTCCATAACACAGCCTGTCACCAGGGTGATGGGAGGCAGGGGCCCTGACTGGCAAGGAGGAGCAGAGCACCAGCCTGGGGCTGGGCTGGGAGGAGCCACCCTAACCACAGTGACGTGGGACTTCCTCGGCAGGGCCTGTTTGATGTCTCTGTGTGCAGCGTTGCCATGGGGCCAGGCAGGCGGCCCTGCGTATGAGCCGGGGTGGCCTACAGGGTGACTGAGTCTGTCAGGGTCCTTTGACCCAGCTCCCCCAACCTAGGTGTGCATGACTGCGTAACCCTGGCGTACCTATGTGAACATGCTTATCCAGCTTTGACCCCGCCTCAGGCCCTGGACCAGGAAGGACATGGTGCAGCTCATCTCTGAATCTCATAACAACTGCAAAAGGCACATTTTCAGGCCCATTTTACAGATAAACTGAGGCTCAGAGAGGTGTGATTACTTGGCCAAAGACATCCAGCTAGAAGCTGGGGAGCAAAAATTGGAAACTTAGTTTTTCCACTCTGCTCCCCGCCCCCCACCATCACACTGGTCTCCTCACTGTTTCTCAAATACTCCAGGAACTTCCTGCCTCAGGGCCTTTGCACTGGCTGTTCCCTCTCTACCTGAAACTCTCTTCCTCCAGATGTCTGCATGGCTTCTCCCTTGCCTCCTATAAATCTTTGTTCAAATGTCACCTCCTCCTCAGGGTAGCCTTTCCTGACCTGGCCCCCACCACCTCCCTCCTCATCTCCTTTGCCCCCTTCTATTCTCTCCCTAACACATACCATACCACCCAACACACCATGTATCTTTATACCTGTCTATTTATTGTGTATTTCCCCATAGATGTGGACTCCATGAGGGCAGGGTTTTTTTTCTGGCTTGTTCTCTGCTGTGTTCCCAGTGCCCAGAACAGCACCTGGCACACAGCAGGCACTCAAGAATGTTTGAAGAATGAACAAATGGGTGTGTGTGTATGCCCTGTGCCACTTGACCGCTTGGCCTGGTCTCACCCTGGCCCTGTCCTCTCACCCCTCCCCGTCATTACAAAGGATCAGTTGGCCACATTGGAGAGCTCCGATCCCTGTTGGCTGCTGTCCCTGGGTAAATTGGCCGGCTCAGGACCAGGGTGTGTGTGTGTGTGTGTAGGGGGCAAATGTCAGGAATCCAGATGGAGGGCTGAGGGCACTGGGAGGACCCTCCAAACTTGGGCTGAGGGAGGCTGAGCTGTGGTGGTCCAAGCCACTTGCAGGGAAACGGCAGAATGGCTTACATGGGCTCAGGGCCTTTGGCACGGGTATCCCTGGAGGCCATCGTGGAGGAGGCATTTCCCCTAAATGTGTGCCCGATTGGACTAATAAGGGGAGGAGGATGGTTCTGGATGGGAGACCTTGCCCTGCGGTGTAAAGGTAGTGTTCTGGAGGGGTGGCGTGGAGGGGGTGCCCCACTGTAATTTAGTTGCTGTATGCTTCTGGAATGATGTGTGTGTGTGTGTGTGTGTGTGTGTGTGTGTGTGTGTGTGTGTCCACAGGAAGACTCTGGATCCTGGGAACTCCATTCCCCTGTTTGTAGCTGCTCAGGAAGCCATGTGGCGAGTGCCCCACCCCCTCTGGGCCCCACCCTGAGTCGGGGAATTCTGTGCCACCCCAAATCTCCCCCTGGGGCCCCACAGGCGGCTCTGCCCCCTCCTGCCCCAACCTGCCAGATCCTGCAGCCTGGGCCAGCCTGCCCCTTGGGCCCCAGAGAGAAGAAAGACCCAGGAGCCCCTAGGGGGCTGGGCCCCATGGGATAGTAGCTAGGTGTGGCTTCTGCCCCCCTCTCCGCAATCCCACCAAGATCCAAAGTAGGAGCCTGTTGAGCTGTACTGAGGAAATGAGGGACTCTGGAGGAATTCTGGGGTGCAAAGTGACCCAGAGGCACCCAACCAGCTCCTCCAGTCTTCTGCCAGGGTCTGCTGCTGGGTCGCCCCCTCCCCACCCCAGCTTTAGTCTTATTGCCTGGGAAGTGGGGTGGTGAAGAATCTGACCCCCAGCCCTAATTATATGACTTTGGAAATGTTGGAGCGGGGTAGGGTGGGAGAAGAACCATCTCCCATAGCAATGCTCACACAGGTCTGGGAAGGGTCCTCTGGCTGCAGAACCTTGCTGTGGCATCATGGTGGTGGTGGTGGTGGTCTGGAGGCCATTGGCCCCAGTCCCATCTTGGAGATGGCAAAGTGGCATCCAGGCATGCCCAAGGAGGCTGGCTTGGAATCAGAGGGCACCCCGCCCCCCCTTTGCTGAGTTTTGTTCCCGGCCCCCCACCTGGGCACAGGGCCAGGCCCCAAGGCAGGGCCCCGTCCTGGGGAACAATGCCTCCGTGTTCCTCCTCCCGGTGGAGGGGAGGTCGGTGGAGGATGAGGTGGGACAGACACGCATGCAGGGAAGGAGGGAGGGATCCAGGGAGGGCCTCTCTCCCAGGGATACTCCAGGAGCTGGGGAGTTTCCCAGAGGCCCTGGGTGTGTGCCGGGAAGCCTGAGGGGGGAGGGGACCTAGACCAGGGACCACCTGGACTGGGGTCAGAAAGTCTTCAATGGCAGCAGGAGAGGGTTGGGTGGGATAAAAGGAGGGACTTCCTGAGGCTAAGGAACATACTGTGGAACTGGAAAGAGTGGGGATTCGTGTTTGGCAGAATCCCAGAATATCCAGGCCCATGCCCTCCCAGGGAAGGGAGGGGTCCGCGGTGGCAGTATGACACCCATGCCCCCTCCATCTCCCCTCCCATTGTCTGCGGCCTCCTGGGTTTCTCTCCCTGCCTAGGGCAGGACCTAGGCCAAGAGGAGTTTCGGAGGTGCGATGTGAATTAGGACCCCTGCTCCCGCCCTATCCCAGCAGGAAGAGCCTTCGCTGAAAAACTGGGGCTAGACCCCGAGTCCAGGACCCAGAGGGAGGAGTTGGGCTGAGTATGGGGCCCAGGAAGAGTTGGGACAAGGGAGGAGAAAGTTGGGGCTGAGTTGGGGACGGGACAGAGTTGGGGGACCGGAGAAAGAAAGTGGGGGCGGACCGGCTCCGGGGGCACATGACGGCGGCGCCCGCCCCGCCCCGCGCCCGCCCCCTGCCCGGCCGCGGGGGAGGAGACGGGGAGGTTTTAAAAGCGATTCGACCCCGCGGCGGGCCGGCCAGTGAGTGGGATGGAGCGCGGTCCGCGACCGCCCCCGGCTCGTTTCGGCCCCGCCGCCCGCCCGCCTGTGTCTCCGCCGGCCGGGCCGGGGCGGCGGCCGGAGCCCCGAGTGCCGGCTCCCCTCCCCCGTGGGTGAGTCGGGGAGGGAACCGGGAGGGAGGCGGCGGCGCCGTGGTGGCGGCGGCAACTTTTCCGCGCCGGACTCTGGGGCTGAGTGGGGGTGCGCCCGGCGGGTCCGCCGGCCCTTAGCGAGGGGGAGGGCGCCGCCCCGCGCCCCGCCGCCGGTGGCTGGGGGAGGACCGCGGGGCCCGTGTATCTGGTGGTGGCGGCGGCGGAGTCCCGGGGCGCCCCCTACAGAGCGGGGGAAGGGCGGCCCACCTCTCCCCCGTCCCCTGGGACCCGCCGCGGGCCCCCCCCCCCAACCACTCCCCCCCCAGGAGACTCCTGCGAGTGTGGTGGGGAGGACGGGTCCCAACGCGACCGGCGCAGGTCGAGGTGGGCAGGAGTTGGCCGCAGGGTGGGAGGGTATGTGCGTCGCTTGGGGTGGAGGGAATGGCCCCTGGGGGTGCATGTCTGGGCTTTGTAGGTCGGGGTCTCCCAGAGTTCTGTGGATGCGGGTGGAAGACAGTGGTTCAAGTTTTTGACATGTCAGCCAGTGAGCGAGGGGAAGGCCTTCCACAGAGGAGAGGGCTGGGGCTCAGCCGTACAGCCTGGGCTTAGGAGGACTTGGGGGACCCTCTCCTCCCTTCCCACTCCTTCTGGCCCAGTGGAGAAGGGCTCATTCATAGGAAGGGGGCCAGGTTTGGGAGATTCCTGGAGGGCTGACTCCCCAGCCCTGTGTAGCTTGGGGTCCCCGTGCCCTCGGGAGGCAGGAAGAGGGTGAAAGGACCCAGACTGAACTCTGACCCCTTCATCCTAGCCCCAGACTGACCTCTGACCCCAGCACCGGACTTGACTGCTACCAAAGCCCCCAGCCGTACACTGACTGTCCTATGCAACCCAGCCAGGCCCAGACCCAGTGAGTGGCCTCTTGAATGCCTTGGAGGTGCAGTTGGCTCCCTGTCACCTGTCCCCTCTGCCCCAGCCCCAACCAGCTGCCTGTCAATGGCTGGTGGTATATGAGGGTGAGGCTGGGATGTGTGGGACCCTTGGCATGAGGGGTGTCCTCTGGCAGCCCTGCCCATGCCAGCCCGAGCTGGAGGGCAGTACCCAACAGGTGCCCGGGCTTAGAGGCGAGGTGATGTAGGACACACCCTGTCCGCTCGCCCACGCACCCTGCCCGGGCCAGCCGGTGCGCATGTGTTCACATGCCACCGTCCTGGGAAGGCATGGGCCCTAGGGCCTGGTGCCAGCTCTGTCCTAGCGCCCAGGGGGCACCCATTGCCCTCTGTCCTTGCAGGATGTCCTCTGGGAGCTCCCTCAAGACCCCAACGGGCAAGTCTTGTCTGTGGGCCTGGAGGGGGCCCTAAAATAGCTGCTAGCCTGGCTCGGGGCTGGCACGCGGAGCACATGCGTGACAGGGCGTGTCCGGGGGGTCGGGCCTGTCTGTGCTGGCCAAGCCTCTGAGTCTCGCAGACCCTTGCTCACTGGAAAGAAACAGCAGAGGCGGATGCTCCAGGGGTCCTCCCCGGGACCCCCCTACCAAGCCCTGCCTGTTGTAAGTGGAGGCCAGATGTTCTGTGCAGGCCGCAGCTGTGGGGCAAACCCCTGACCCATTTGCAGTCACAGGGTCACTGCCCCATGGGTGCAGTGGGATGACCTGTTCTCTGGGGGCCCAGGTGATGCTTTGATACACCGTAAGGCATTTTTCACAGTTTGCCCTTCACTTTGGGAGGCTGGGTGGGGGAGTCTGTTCGAAGTGAAGGACACCGCAAGGAACCTTGGGCGGTCTGAAGAAAACTCCTTCCGGCCCCTCTCTGGGCTGGCTGGCTGGCCCTTTCCCACTTTGGATACACTTTATGCCAGGATCAGGCCTGGCTTTTCCTTAGACTTCCCGCATGACCTTGGGCCTGGTTCTGAATCCTCTGGGCCTCAGTTTCTCCATCTGTATATGGGAAGCATTGGGAAAAACGAGCGGAGGGAAGTGTGTGCTTCCCTTCCCTGTCCTGGGCCCTCACTTTCAGATCACTTGGAGGGCACTCTGGCCACCTTCCCTCCTGCCATTGGGTGTCCTGTGTGAACACGGAGGTGTGCCTGGGGAAAGGCCGGTCCCCCGGGAAGGACGTACTGGGAAGCCAGTGGGTGTGGGTGTGTGAGAATCCTTGGGCAGAGAAGGACACCGCCATGCTGGGCACAGCTGAGTCATGCTGCAGCGGCGCCTTGCCCCAGGGTGCTGGAGCTGGCGCCACCCTGGGTGTGGTCACTGAGCTGTGGCCCTGGGCAGAGCAGGCCTGGGTGGTCTGGGATGGGGTCCTGGATGGTGAGGGGCCAGGGAACTGACTTCTGAGATGCTAAAGCCCCTTGGCCTCCCTCTGGCCTTGGTCAGGCGTCATCGTCCAGGACCATGGTCACCCACACCCTGAGAATACCTTGGGGAGCCAAGGAATCCTGACCTTTGGGCCTGGGAATTGTCGGGGTGCTATAGGAGGGGGACAGGGCCTGGAAGCCAGCAACTGCCTTCGAGGCCATTGGCCCCCAAAAGGCAGGCCAGGAGGCCAGGACAAGGATAAGGCAGAGATGGACATGGCAGTAGGGTGTACCCCTCAGTAAAGGGCCCAAAGTGTGGATATTAGGGGTCCCCTGGGAATTCTGTGACTGGTCTGAGGGGGATTAACGTTGAAGGCAGGGGTTGGAGCGTGGCGTGGCTGGGCACCATGGGGGCTGGGATGTGACTTGCATGGTTCCCCTATTTATAACAAGTGATTCAGTCCTCACTTACTCACCCCTTCCTGAGCCTGCCCCCCTCCCCCGAGCCCTGGGTGGGCAGCGGGGCCCACCCACTTACCAGTGCCCTGCCTCCCTCCAGCCGGGCGCCAACCTCTGAGGGCTGCCCATCGGGCCGGTTGTTATGGTGGCCACGTTGGGCTGGGGGTGAGGGGTGGGGGGCGGGTGGTCAGGCGGCACTTGGCTGGGCAGCCCAGGTTAGCGGCTGGCTCGGCGCCTGGCCTAGGGAGCCTCTGCGGAGAGTCTGGGCCCATTAGGCAAAGCGTTAGTGACAGGCTGGGAGGGCGGGCAGCAGCAGCGGGCAGGGCGGGGCCTGCAGCCCTTGGTATTTTCCGATCCCAGCTGCTCTGAGAGGGTGGAAAGTATTTGGGGACCAGGCTTGGGGGCGGTGGTGGTGGCGCCCCCGGCGGAAGCTGCCCCTGATTCATTCTTGGAGCATGGGGTTGGGGGGGGCAGGCATTACAGAGTATGTCTCACGAGTCCACGCCCTGTCTGCAGAGCGTACTCAGACATACATCCATACATCCATCCATCCATCGGTGTGGCCTGGGGCCTGCTGTGCTCCCTGGGCCCAGGGCCCTTCCTCCCCACAATGCCTCCAGCTGCCAGGAGCTTGGCCCTCCTTGGACACCATCTCCCCAGAGCCTGAGAGACACGCCTATGGTAACGGGGGCCCTGCTTCTGGGCACCTGCATGACGGTGCCCCCTCCACTCGAGAACCAGGCCTTTTGCGCCTGCGGGGATGGGGAGTGGCCTTGGCCCCGGCCCGGGGCTCTGTGCAGGGGAAACCCCACAGGAAACGGGCCTGGCCAAATGGCCGCCCTTCCCGTTCTCGTCCCTGGGACACGAATGTGCTGTCTCACTTCCGGAGGCGGCCCAGGGAGGCCGGCCGCCCTGCGGGGCCTTGTCTGCTCCTGGTTGGTGCCCCTAAACCTTGAGGGAACAGGGCTGGGCTAGGGCCCGACCGTAAAGCGGGTGGCCGGTGTGTATGTATGTGTGTATGTAGGAGGCACAGAGCAGGACACCTCACTCCACCTGTCTCCCAGTGGTGGTCACCACCTACCAGATCTGGACGCTGGGGTCCTACCCGTGTGCAGCGTCTTCTGTGCCATCATCCTTCCTGTTTATGCCTGGTGAATGGTGACAGAGTAGCCCCATCCTAATTATACACAGCACTCGCGGGATCCTTACCATGACATTATCCCTGCTTTGCCGATGGGGAGACGGAGGCCCAGAGAGACTGAGTGACTTGAGAGTCACCCAGCTGGGAAGCTGCAGAGCCAGGGTTCATATGCAGCTGGACTGGCTCCAGAGTTGGATCTCCTAGCCGCAGGGCTCTCATCACACGGGAGGTCTCTGTTTACTGAACACAGGGCGGGCTTCATGGGCATGTGACCTGTGCCGTTCACAGGGTCACCCGCTACTGAGAAGGACCTGGAGCTTGGGTTCATGCTCTGCTGTCGTCTTGAAATTCTTAATTTGTGAACAAGGGGCCCCAAGTTTTCATTTTGCACTGAGTCCCACAAATTCTATAGGTGGTCTTGGTGCCAGGTACTTGCTAGGCAGCACTCTTGGTGGAACCTCACCATGCTATGTGGTAGAGACTCTTGGCTCCATTTTACAGATGGGGAGACTGAGGCTTGGAGGGCATTTGGGAAACTGCCGAGCTGGAATTTGCACCTCGAGCCTGGGTCCGGTGCTCTGGGGGCATGCGTGCCTCGGGGGAGACCTGGGCGCCCGCTGCCAGCATCCGCTCACTCGGGTGGGGTGCGGGCTGAGGCCTGACCACCAAGGAGACAGGGCCACGCGGGGTGGCCCTGGTGGTTTCCTCCTGCCCTTCAGGCTTCTAGGAAGTGGCGCCAGCTGGGGTGAGATCACTTCCTCACCCTCCTGCCCGCCACCCCCTCAGCTTCCTCTCCCCATGGCCCCAGTTAGCCTGCCCAGGGCTCAGTGGTGGGGGTGGTGAAGAAAGGGAGGGGGGACCTGGCTCTGGGAGCTCCTGCAGCCTCCTTGGCTGAAAGTGACCCTCTGGGTATCTCTGCCTCTCTGGGCCTGGGAGGCATGGCTGGGGCTGGGGGTATCCAGCCTGGTGGTCTAGCTCTCTTTAGTTGCTGCTGCACGTGGGGAAAAAGGGCTTCCCTGCAAGACCCCAAAGGATGGCAGCAAGTGGGGACCTGGAGGGCAGATGTCCTCAAATCTCATTACCTCCTTTTGTCTCTCCTAGGTGCCAGCTGCTGGCCCTGCCCGGTGCCCCCCCACCCCTGTGCCATGGCCGGCTGGGGTTCCTGGGGATGGGATTTGCTGCCTGTCACAAATCACATTGCCAGGGATTTCCAACCGACCCTGAGCCCTGCCTCTGGGGCCACCGCTGTCACTGCTTCCGCTGAGGACACCGACCCAGGGATGGGGACGGGGTGGCAGAGAGGCCTCCACCGCCTGCGTCTGGCCTGGGGAGCAGGGCTTAGCTGCTTGTGAGCAGGTCCACAGCAAGTCGTGTTCACAGTGGCTAAGTTCCGCCCCCCGGGGCCCCGCCTCCTCTGGCCCTGCCACCTCTCCCCTCCGCCTGCCTGTCCGACCTCCGGGCCTCCCTGGGCTCTGCCTCCCGTGCCTACTGAGCTGAAACACAGTTGATTTGTGCAGACTGGCTCAGTTCAGCAGGAACAGGAGTCAAGCCCCCTTGGAGTCTTCGGCCCCTGCCTTCCTTGGGTGGGCCATTCGCCTCCTGTGAGAAGAGATGAGGACCCTGCCCTGGACCTGTGTCTGGAGGAGGAACCTGGGGACGAGTGGAGCCTGGGATGGGATGGGTCAACCCAGCTGTCTGCTGCAGGCCCCCTCCTCCAGTTCTGCACTTGGGGACCCTCACACAGTCCCATCTCAGGCTGGGCTGTGTTCCCAGGGAGGATGGATAGGCAGGCGGGTGGCCAGCCTTTCCATGAAAAAAGGAAGCCAGCTGTGTCCCCGCCTGGCCGACCCTCGGCCCCTCCTCTCCCAAGCTTGGTTGGGGGATGGCTGGCTCGCATCTTCCCAGCAGTCAGTTACCCAAGAGGAAGCTGCCTTGGGCCCCCAGACCGTTAAATGCCAACTCCAGGCTTCCGGAACCAGGCTGGCCTGACCTGAACCTGCCTGGCCCCTTCTCCCTGGGCCTGCGGCTTCCTAACTTGGGGAGGAGGAGCCATGACACCCTCCTGGCACGTGGGGCAGGGAATGAGGTCCCTGTGGGCCCAAAGGACACAAACAGGCCCGCTCAGTCCTTGGGTGGTCCCAGGGCATGGGCGCATTGAGACTTTGTCCATCATCAGATGGAATGGGGCTCTTTTGGGGGTGAGACTGGGGAGGCAGTGTGAAGCCCCCCCCCCGAGTTGTCTCAGTGTACCCCTGTCCCACTGGGGCAGGGGCAGACAGCAGCTTGGGCAAGTCTATGCTGTGTGTCGAGCCTGTTGTCCAATTAAATAAAAGCTGCCCCCTGCCTCATTCCTGAAGGTCTGGTGGTTTGTGATTTATTCTGGCCTCCAACCCTGGAGTTTCTGGCTTTTTGACTGGGGAGGGTTGATTGGTCTGAATTTACTGTCCTGGCATCCTGGGCTCCTGACTTCACAGGATCCCCATCCGCCTGCTCTGAGGAAGGTGATAATTTAGTCACATGGGCGGAAAGGGTGCCCTTGTCATGGAAAGGTGACCTTGAGGAGTGTCCTAGGGATGGGTGTTGACCCCACGTGAAACCCTGGGCTGGAGGGACTGACTTTCAGGGGTGGTGTGGTGACAGGGAGGACTGTTCTTGGAGGGACTTAGATGGGATCATGATGAGGCATGCCCCACATCCAGGGCTGGGCGTGGGAGAGAATGGGACCCCATCTAAGCTGGTGGCTGGGGGTGACCCTAAGGGAAACACTGGACATTTGGGGATAACTGGGACCTGAAGGTTTTGATCTAGTGACATTTGGGGATGACTTAGACGTAAGGGACAACTTGGGCTGGGGGTAAGATTTGGGGTGTGCGGTATGTGAGAAGGCTGGTGGGGAACTTGGGCTTGAGGTGTGTATGTGGGCCCAAGGGGGACATCTGGCTGTGACTGGGACCTGAGTCGCGCCCTAGGTCTGTGGGGAACATCTGTAGATGACTTTGAGAGGTGAGGGGCACGGTAAGGGGCACCCCAGGTCTGAGGATGTTTGGAGGGAGCTGGGACCACAAGGGCCAAAGCTGATGTAGAGTGCTCAGAACTGCCACTCCTACCCTCCCAGGCCTCCAGGCGGCACTAAGGAGCGTGCGGGTCAGCGGGGGGTCTCCCTGCACATACCTGCGGGAATACGTGAGGCGGGGCAGGAGGTGGGACCGCCTCCAACTGGTTCCCTCCGGCGCAGGGAGGAGCCACGAACCAATCGCCAGGCCCAGCGCCACCGACGGCCCGCCCACTGCTGCGCGCGGACCCTCGGCGCCCTCTAGCGCCCGGCTCCGCCCAGCCTCGCTCTGAGCCCCGCCCCTCCGGGAAGCCTCTGTCCTCGCCTGCCCCGGCCCTGACAGTGACCCAGACAGTCTGTCCCTCTGTTCGTCACTCTCTAAAGGCAGGAAGCCAGTAAAGGAAGGCAACCAAGGGCCTTGTTGCCATCCTCCGGATCCCTCACTCTATTTGGGGACTGGGAGCCTCATCCGCGGTGTAGGAGCCCAGACACGCCCCCCCACTGACTTCACCCACCAAGGCCTTGTCTAAGCCGAGTTTCCACCTTTGGGGGGCGTGTCTTCCCCACCCAGCTGCACCCAGCACCTGACACGCACCACCGTCCCGTGCTCAGAAACTTGCAATTAACTCCAATAGCTAGTGCTGGAGCCAGGGCACCCCCTAGTGGCCATTCCCACCTCTGCATGGCCCATGCAGCCCGGGGTGAGCAATCAGTGGCCCTACCCCAGCAGGGTACTAAATCTAGCTCTGTCGCTTTCTAAAAGTGAGTGCCCTTTCTTAAACTTTGGAGCCTCAGTTTTCTCCTCTGTAAAATAGGAATGCTAATCCTACCGACTCGTAGCGCTGTTATGACAGGTGTTGTAACAGATGACAGGTGTAAAGCGCAGGTGTCAGCCCCCGGCTTGCTCATAGTGAGCTCTCTCTCCCTGTCTGCTAGCATCCATACTGTTACCACTGGAGGAAACCAGCAGTGGCTCCCATTGCACCCCTCACTTGAAGCTGTACCCAGAGAAGAGGCTGGAGATTTTCTGTGGGGGGGAAAAAGGAAGCCCTGGCAGGGGGCCACAATGGTGGCGGGGGGGGGCAGAACACGCCTTAGTCTCAAAATAAAATTAAAAAGAACAAGCTGTGTTCAACCTTTAAAAAAAAGGAAATACAATATATGGTTCAATAAATAGAAAAAAAGTTACAAAATGTGGTAATCTTTGTACTTAATTACAAGAGGAGAAAAGATAGAGGAGGGTGATTGTGGGGTGGGACACTCTCCTTCTCCCTGGGCCAAGGTGGGGGAAAGGGAGGCCAAAGAGAGACAGCAGCTGGGACTTGGGGATGCAAATAGAAAGACAGGCTAGATGGAGAGAAATATGGGAAGGGGGAGTAAGATGAAGGGCAGAGCAGGGAGGCAGAGGATCAGAAAGGGAGAGACAGAGGGCCAAAAAATGCTAAGATGTTGGCCTCTTTCCTTTCTAGATCAGGGGGAAGGGGGGGTCCCTGGCTTGCCTGCGCTTGTATCCCCCACACACACCAGGTTTGGAGGACAGTGTGAGCCTGGCTCGGTTCCTGAGTTGTATGTCCAGTGACTAGCAGGTAGGGGGAGGGACAGTAATGAGCCCCCAGCCCACCCTGGGACCCTGGCACCCAAGGGAATGGGAGTCCTGGCAGGATGGGTGGTGAGGTATGTGGCCGAGGCCTGAAGCCTCTTCAAATCCTTCAGTGGGGGTGAGCCATTGGTCCCAGCTCTGCAGCCTGGAGGGGGCGCAGGCCTGCGGGTGGGACCCCTGAGGCAGTGAGGGGAGGGTACAAAAGGAGTTTAGATGCCCTAAAGCAAGCCCTCCGGGCACCCAGAGTTGGTTGCAGGGAGGGTCTGCTACGTTGACTCTGAGAGCCAGTTTCTGGAAAGTCCTGCCTCCCAGCTCATCCACCCCAGCCCAAGGGAGACCTGTGGGTTTGGGGAAGGAGAGCTTGCCTATTGCTTTTGGGGTGCTCAAGGTGGGGTCATACCGGCTGCACAAGCACACACCCCCTTCCAGGCCTCTGGGTGGTGGTATGGCTTCTGATCCTTGCGTCTTGCACACTCGCTAGGCACGCATGTGCCCTAGGCACGCATGTGGCAGGATGCGACCCCCTGCTTCCCACCTCCTTCTGGGCTTGGAGGGGATGGCAGGCAAGACCACCCAGCTCCAGCCGGGCTCCTTCCCTGACTTAATACTGAAATGCCACATAGGCCTCCAGTGCTGAGGCCCGTGATGGAGGGCGGGTGCCACAGAAGCAGGGGCGAAGGCGGATGTCCCCACCGCCTGCCTGCTGCCCCTCAGCCGAAACGCTCCCGCACCAGGAGCATGAGCTTCTTCTTGCCCTTGTAGGTCTGTTTGAGGTTCTCCAGGAACTGGGCGAACTGCAGGTGCCCATCAGGCGCCAGCAGGAAGGTCTCGCGGGCCTTGCCCAGGAACTCGATGAAGTCGCCGTAGTGCCGCGGGCTGATGTGCGTCAAGCGGGAGTGGCTGGTGGTGATGTAGGCGGCCACCGCCGCGTCCAGCAGCTGGCACAGCGGTGCCCGGTCGGCGCCCAGCGGCTTGGCAGCCCGGCGAGCCCCGAGGGGCCCCAGGCCGGGCGCTGAGAGGGCCCAGCGGCGCAGGATGTCGGAGAGCATGGGCGCGCAGTGGATGCTGCGGATAATGAGGGGGACGATGGCAGAGAGCTCGTGCCGGCCCAGCGAGTGGCTGAGCGAGCAGGCCCAGAGCACGTCGTTGACGGCCGGGTGGCTGTCCTGGTTGAAGGCGATGCTGAGCTGCGCCAGGGCCAGCGTCGCCAGCTTGTAGGCCCGCAGCGGCAGGCCGCGGTGCTCCATGTAGCGGGCCACGGTGAAGAGGTGGGCGTGGCCCAGGCCTCCGGCTGCGGCATCCAGCACGATCTGGTAGGCCGCCTCGAAGGCCGCGTGGTTCTTCTCGCACAGGGTGAGGGCGGGCAGGGCGCAGTTCTGCGGGTCCTTCATGGCGCACTGCAAGGCCAGGGTGCGGGCGCATGCCCAGAGCTCCTCCCGCCGGGGCGCATCCAGCTGCAGCCGCAACAGCGTGGCATGGGTGGTGCCCGTCACTGCCACGATGGTGGCTGCCTCCACCGGTGTGAATAAGGAGTACCAGTTCTGCATGATGTTCATCAGGGCTTGCAGGCCTGTGGGAGATGACAGGGTGGCACTGGTCAGGAATGGGACAGGGGGTTACCCTGTGTGCATGGGTTTACCCTGACCTACTATCCCCACCAGCCAAGGCTAAAGCTGTACCCCCTCTACCGCCACTCTTGGCTTGACAGAAACGTCACTTTACTTTTCCAAAGGAGGAGAGGGCAACTGGGCTGGGTGGGATCTGGGGGGTGGGGGCTAGGCATTGGAGGGATTGTCCCTTCTCCAAGCCACTTTAGCCTAGCCAGACTCCAGGTCTTTGTCCAGCTCGGTCCCCCCTCCCAACATTCCCTCCTGGCCTAGCCCTGAGCACAGGCTGGAGTCGGGGAAGTGGCTCTGCTTCTCCCTCATGCCTGCCCAGTTCCACAGGGAGGTGGGTGGCGGGTCCCCTTGGGGACTCTCACCGACTTCCGTGGCACAGCTGACCAGCCAGCGCACCATCTCCCTCCGACGCCAGGTCATGGTGTTCAGGGTCATCTGCATCACCTGTAGCATGGGATGGGGAGGGGGAGAGAAGGGGGTCACCCAAGCCAGGGCTGGCGTGTGGAAGGGGGGCGGGCGGGGGATCCTTAAGGGCCCCGGGAAACTTGGAAGTTAAGGGCTGAATCAATGAGCCATACAATCTGGGCAAGGGGCTTCACCTCTCTGGACCTCAGCTTCCCCATCTGTAAAATGGAGATAAAAACAGTATCCACCTCATCGAGTTGCGAGAATTAAGTGAAAGTATGTAGGTAAAGCTCTTTGCACGGTGCCTACTTCTTCAAAGTGCTCAGCTGATGCCAGCCATTACTGCTAGTGTTGGTGTTATTCTGAGGCCCCATGGATCCTACCTGGGACCACAAACCAACCTGTCCCTTCTCTTTGGAAAGTTCCATGCTTCCTGTCAGCAGATTTCCCCCTGCAGCCCCAAACAAAGCACCTGCCCTACAGGTCCCGCCTTCTTCAGGTCCCACCCCCAATAAGCACCTTCCTTGCTGGCCTCTCTTCTGAGGCCCCATCCCCAGGTCCTGTCCGGAAGCTTCTAAATAGTGGGTCACCTGCCTAAAGCACCACCCTTATCTCAACTCCCACATGTGCCCCACAATGGCTCCGCCCCCCTCAGGGGGTTGTTCAGAGGCCAATTCTGC